CCCCAAAACCCCAAAACCCCAAAACCCCAAAACCCCACCTCATGGATGAAGTATTGAAACTGGACTATTTATGCGTACATCTAGGAACAAATAACTCTCTTTTGACTAAAACCTGACCTAAACTATTCGAGCTCGATTTTATCAAAAACTGTGTTCCCATAGGTTCCCTTGGCCACGACTCAGCCCAAAAATTATGATTCTGAAGAAAATATTTATTCGGGTTGTGCTTAGCTCAAAAGAAGATTGTTTTAGAACTTTAAAAGAAATAACCTAATTCAAAGACGTCCTATACTGTCATTTTGGTTGACCTCTTCTTGATTTGTTCAACATGGACGGCTTCATCTGATCTAACTTATCCTTGCTCAGCAGCAAAGAGGATCTTACTGTGCAAGTAGTTTTAGATAATCCTGTGTTTGGATGTATAGAGATGCTCTCTGTAGTCATAAATTAGACAACTCGTGTACATATTCTCGCATTTTAAGATTCTCGAGAAAGTTATAAAATTTGTAGAAATTTAATTGTGACGTTTATCCAACGAACAATTAGTTAAGAAAATTCTCAAAAATTTTGAATAGCTTACTTCTTGTCTTGAGCAGTTTGTGTTCGATAAGACCTGTGTCTAACGCGAAGTTATTGCTAAGCCTAGCATCTTGGTCACAATCAAGTTTTGCATAGTACCTGAAACTTACAGTTTTGGAGATCTCGATTTTAGAAATCCTCTAAAAATTATGCCTAAAACATTACCTTTTTATCATAAGTAATGAGTGTGAAACCCAGATAAACCATGAACATGTAGGGAAACAAGAACCATGAATAATGTCTCTGAAGAATGTATATAATGATCACAAATATCGAAAATAGAGAGGAGTATACTGAAGCTAGCACAATCTGATTCTTTGATACGATGTAGATGAAAATCGACTCTCCAACTGTATCAAGAATTACTCTGATAGAGAAAGTCATTCCCATGTTTAGTAAGCCCAACTGGTAAGTATAGCTGAAGAATGGAGGGGTAGGGTGAAGAGAGTACTGCAAAGAGTAGTACGCAAAGCATCATATAGCACCTACAATAGCCATCCAGAAGCAGAAGGTGAAAATTGGCATCCCTCCCTTCAGAGAGAGACTTAAATTGATTGCACCAACAGCTGCTGCAATGATATGAGGTAAGATAAAAAAATTCAGATGGAATTCTTCTCCGAAAATATTGATCGATATTATTAGCCCTATACAACCAACTATCGACACTACAGCTCCTGCAATCTTAAAAGGAGTCCATTTATCCATCCTCAAGAAGATAGCACAGCTCATGATGATAACTGGGAAAATAGGCTGCCACAAGATCACTATATGAAGATCGAAGATATAAGTAGTCTTCGCAAATAAAGTATACCCCAAAAACAAGTGTAAAACTCCAGCCAAGAGTAGGTGAGGTAATTCTTTACTAGTCGGCAACCTCATTTGCTTCTTTAGAACAGACACAATACATGAGAGTATAGCCATCCAGATAAACCTGTGCAAAAAGGTAAGTGATCTCCTAGATCCAAGTTGTGTCATGACTGTTCCAGCAGCATAAATGTCATATGCAGCGTTAAATAGTTGGATCAATAACATCAGAGCGAATATCATATGGTCGAACGTCAGGTAACTTACGACCAGCTCTTTGCTCAGGTTCGATGATTTCATTAGTCAAGAGTATTTTCAATATAATCTTATATATTCGGGGTTTTGGGGTTTTGGGGTTTTGGGGTTTTGGGGTTTTGGGG